AAAAGGGGAAGTAGTCAAAATATTATTCCAGCTCTGCGGGATATGTGCTTGCTGTAGCACACTGCAATTCCATTTCAGTCTGTCTATTACAAAAATATCACATACTGACAAACTGTCATTTACTGGATAGAGCTTCGGACACTATATGTTGTCCATATTCATATTAAGTATACCCACAATTTTGAAATGTAGTTTATATAGTCCTAATTTTCGTGCTCATATTCCATTGTAAATTTATTGTTAGAATGAGTCTCGTTGAGGTTCTCATATAACTCATCTACATGTCTCATATAATTACAAATAACAAAGGTATCTTCAACATACCTACAGTAATAGGCTGTTCCGCTGATGAATGAACTCAATCACGTCACTTCGAGATAACCCAAAGGGGCTATCTGCTCGGACAAATACTTGAGGTGAACCAATTGCCACTCCATCAATCTCCTAATGAAGCTGGCTATTGAATTGGAAGTGAATGCCTTTCGTGCAAAAGAGTGGTAGCTCTTTCATCTCGGAAGCAGATCAGTTTGTTCATCTCACTCACTGGTAAATTTGTCAATAAGGAAGTCACATCGTATGACACCAACAGTTTAACTGGATCGCCGACATGATCTATTTTCTTCATGAGAAAATCCCAATGTATCTTGTACACTGTGGATCGCCAATTTACTCGGGATGGGCTCTGAAAAACTTACTCAACATCTTGTCAGCTTGTGGCATGGCAATTAATCATTATCTTATGTACTAATGACCATCCCCTTTTCAGACTGTATGCAGCTTAAGAGAATTCGTGAAATGAAATGTTAACATTTTATTCTGCAAATTTCGTCCTTCTTGCTTCATCCAAACATTCAAAGAGACCTTCACATGAAGTGGAATCAAATTCTTGTAAATAGGAATGAGGAAACAAAACTAGACTGGTCTCAACCCAAACTCACATATATTATTTTAGAAACACTTCAATCTACGAGTTGTTCAAATATATAGCAATGTTACTGGGCCAATTGGAAACCGCTCAAAGTCTTGACTCACCAGCTCTTATGACTTAAAGCATAGATTAGATGAGATAAGAGTAGATAACTGGAAAAATGGTAGGTTTTGACATAACTACTCTTTAGACGAATATACCAATCGACGTGAGTCTAGAGGCAGTTGGAAATGGGCTTAAGAATGACAAACAACTTACACATGGAACTAAGATACCTATTGAAGAAATCATGACAGAAGTACGACTCTACCTTATGTCTACCTTTTTAAGGTTCAAAATAAGATATATCAACAAACTGAAGAGGTTGCCATGAAATCACTAATATCTATCGTCGCAGACATATTGATAGATAGTTGGGAAGGAATGGCCTTCAAACATTTAGTCTTACTCCAAAGAAATTGTTCCGATATTTAGATGACATATTTACAGTGCTGAAATCCGAACACAAAGAGATTCTTGGAACATATAAATTCAGTAGTGAAAGCAATCCAATTTACCTATGACTTAGAAAGGGTTGAAGGTGAGTTAACGATGTTGGATTGGACGATTAGGCGAAAACAAGATGAAGGTGTAAAGACTACTGTCTATAGGAAACCTACTTATTCGAAAGCCTACTTAGACTTCAAATCATCTGACTTCGTCGCAGTTAAAGTAGACTTAGTTAAATGCCCAGATGACAGAGCAAAAAACACTAGGAGGACAGAAAATCTACGACAAGAAATAAGTACCCAGCCAAATTTATAGATAAATTCACAAGTAATTGAACGAAATATATGAACAGTATTGGTAGTAACGAACATATACTAGAAACTAGTCACAGGGATGTCATCAAAGCAGTTTTCAATATCTAGTCCATAAAGACCGTAAGAGATTTCCTAGATGTATCAAAGCCTTTTTTTAGATATCCAAATCAAGTTGTGGTTTGATGGTTTGAGAAGTTTTAGGCATCGGGTAAATGACACTCATTATTTTGGTATTTGTATTTTCCAGTGAATGTAAAACAAAATAAATTTGTCCTAAATGACATTTCACTATTTAACGTTTATAGCCTTATCAAAGTTATAGTTAACCGGAATTCACAATATCCGCGGTTATATATGACAACTTCATATATGTTCGTGTGTGTGGATGGTTCTGTATTGTCAAATTAATGTGTAGTATATGTGGTATGTATGAATTACAGATTGGGATTTGCATGTATACACGTGTTTATAGTTCTTATTGTGTACATGTTTTTGGCGATCCACAGTGTACAAGATAATTGGGATTTTCTCATGAAGAAAATAGATCATGTCGGCGATCCAGTTAAACTGTTGGTGTCATACGATGTGACTTCCTTATTGACAAATTTACCAGTGAGTGAGATGAACAAACTGATCTGCTTCCGAGATGAAAGAGCTACCACTCTTTTGCACGAAAGGCATTCACTTCCAATTCAATAGCCAGCTTCATTAGGAGATTGATGGAGTGGCAATTGGTTCACCTCAAGTATTTGTCCGAGCAGATAGCCCCTTTGGGTTATCTCGAAGTGACGTGATTGAGTTCATTCATCAGCGGAACAGCCTATTACTGTAGGTATGTTGAAGATACCTTTGTTATTTGTAATTATATGAGACATGTAGATGAGTTATATGAGAACCTCAACGAGACTCATTCTAACAATAAATTTACAATGGAATAGGAGCATGAAAATCAAGCCGGCTATTTAGACCTAAACTTAAGAAATAAAGACGACGGTAACATTTAAGGTGCTATGCATAGAAAAGACACGGGGACCGGATAGTACCTTAACTACCACAGCTTCTGTTCTGCCAGCTATATGCATGTACCAGTCAAGACATTTTACAACGCAGCTAAGAAATTAAGTTCTGTCAACAGATAAGTGGAAGAGTTAAACTTTGGTGAAAAGTGTCTCCGAGAGAACTGATATCCAAAGAGATTTAATATGAAGTATTGAAAAAAAGGATAAAGATAAATTAACACCAAAGTGTGGTGGGGAATGTTTTTATAAACATTACATTTCAAGGGAGATACAGTATCGAAAAGAATAGATGCAGGGATCAGAGGTGTACTGAGGAAAAGCTTTCCTGCAGCTTAACTTGTATGAGTATGCAATACCAGATGGTCACTAAACCGGTCAAAAATGGATAGTTATCTTCCTCATATAACCTCAGGTTTTATTTATGAATTTACATTTATTTACGGTAGAAAGTACAATGGAAGGACTGAGAGGAAATCTTCCATTTGGTTTGCTGAGCATATCCCCAGGAATCTGTCCTTGGAAAGAAGTACAATTATAAGCACTGTAATCGCCAAACACCTCGTAGGTACTAGACATCAGGTTGAAACACTAAATGTTTTTAAAATAATTGAGGTACAGAGAATGTTTGGATTACTTGGTTTCGTGGAAGAGATTGCAATAAAACGCTTTCAACCTCATCTTTGCATTTATTTATTATTACTATTTCTTCCCTACATTTCTTACTTGAATATTTCATACTTTTCGTTTTATCAAAATGTTTCAGAGGATCTAAATCCATGAAGTCTTTTTCAAATAATATTGATATTGTCAGAATCAATCTTGTGACTTGATATTATAATGTGTACAGTTATAGTTGAAGTTTTTTCAAGTCTTCAGCTTTGCTGGATTTCTAGTAAGTAGGGTGGAAGCCCCTTCGTGTTCATTTATTCTAATTTTGATTTCATGGAACTCTGTTAACTGACTCTCATTCTAGGCACTTTATTTTAGAAACACAATTAGATTGTAAATCCAGATGGATCTAATCCTTCAGATGTGCTCTGCAATTCATTTGATGTTTTGTGGAAGACTCTGATAATATTGCATTTGTTGAACACTCTTCTAATTTTGTCAGATGTATGTGGTCTGTATGGTATGACTATTGTTGAGATCCATGATTTAAGAATAGTTTTATGATCGAATTTAGTAACACTTTCTATTTTGTGAATGAATTTCACCGGATAACTTTCATTTTAAGTATCACTGTTCACATATTTTAATCCCTTAACTTTCATTTCCATCCGTTATTAGAGTGTATTCTGTCCTTAGAAGACTGGAGGCAACAGGATTCTTCGCTCTGATTGCATATGATGAATTGGAATCTAAATATTTGTTTGAATGTATTGCTTACCCGAATGTCCATTTTCTTTCCGCTTAACATGAAAATTAAGACAAAGTGGTTCAAACGTGTCCGTTTCTTTTTTGAACTAGGTGATCTACAGTTCACCTGATATAAGAAAACCTGGTTTAAGTCACTTTTTAAAATTGAGAATATTTTAGCAATATACCACAGCCAAATTTCCGGTTTTAATGAGTTCATGAAGATACATTTTAACGATTTAACAACGCAAAATCATTCGTGAAGAAAAACGCATATCAAGTTATCATATACTTGGATATTGTGAATCACGGTTAACCATAACTTTGGTAAAGCCATAAGCATTGAACAGCAAAACGTCACTGAGGAGGAATTTGTTTCGTTTTACATTAACTGGGAAGTCTTATTGATACGTATCGTTACTTTCGGTTTTCATATCGAAACTGGTATGATCCATAGTTTGATCTTATTTCTCTATCCTTCATACTCCTATATTCTTTAACAACTCGATTAACTTCACTTAGAATTTTCCGATAAGTAGTTTAGTAAATTCATGGACAGTCACGCTGTCTAACGTTTATAACCCTTTCATACGTTTCAGAGAATTGCGTGTTCTTTTTACGTTATCCAACTGTATAGTGGAGCTATGACTAATTGGTCTCGATGCGCAACCACCAAGTAGTGGGTCATGGATTCTAACCCCAATCCACCTATGAAGGTTCGCGCAACCAATTGGTGCCACACAATAAATGTGACTTATTGTCCACTGACTCAAAGTGCATGTAGTTTCCGAGGGCGTTTCGACCAAACTCTGTCAATGGGTTTAACTGTTTCAAATAGCTCAGCGAAACATCTGTAGACAAAATCATTATATTTAACTTGTACAGTTGACTCACGTATACACATTGCAGCTAAACAACGTACTACAGAATCCGGTTGCTGACAATCAGGAAATATTGGCTGCAGCATATACTTGGCAAACGTCATAGCAATAACAGCCATTGTAGCAGGTCTAGCCACCATTACTTCAATCCATAAACGTAAAAATCCCATAAAAGAACCGAACGCCTCTAGAACATATGCGTAATCACCGCCTGAACGATGAATCAGCGTTCCAAGTTCAGCATAACAATAGGCACCAAGCATTGAGAATAACCCACATGATACCCAGATTACAAGGCTAGCGCCTAAGCTTTGCATATTTTCTAATATTCCAGTCGGGCTGACGAATATCCCCGAACCAATCATTGAACCAATGATGATATTAATACTACTTAACAGGCCAATGTTTTTCATCATTCTAAATTCTTTTTTCGATTCATCATTGACACTGATATTCTTCCGTTTAAAGCTCATTTTATAAAATTACTCAAGCACTTGTTATAATCTACAATTTAAAAAATAAGGTCAGTTTAAACTTTGAATTCACTCAAGGTCGAACTTAGTATTTCAAAAGACGCCATACCGTAACGCAAGTTATGCGACATTTTCAAAATGAAATGTTAAGATATATTTTAAGTAATTTGTTTGAAGTATGCTAACTGATATCTGTTAAATTTGAATGCTCCCATGATAATTCTGTCTGATGACTGACTAGATATGGAAACACTTGCCAGTTTGGATAGCAGTTTGATTTCACCATCAAATAATGGATATTTATAAAATATCAGTGTGTGCCTACAGCGAGATCTGATATCGACTTGAAGTTTTACTTAAATATCAGTTTCAATTCCTGAGTGTATCTAATTTGATTTAAACGTACTGATAAAATGAAATGAGGTTAGCATAAACTTCTAGTCACATATTGTTTCACTGTAAGTAATTGGTTCACTTAAGATTTAAAAAAACTGAAGAATGAGATAATCAGAGTGTGTTACGACTACCTTAAGCATATCGTTCTGCAGCTCTAAAACTATATTCGTCGCACAAGAAATGGCTATCGTGACTCGGTGGCCTAGTGGATAACGCTCTGGTGTTTGCAGCGATCGGTCCAAAGTTCCACTCCCGGTAGCAACAACTTTATCCACTGAGAGGCAGGTAAATCAAACTAAGGAGTTACAAATAGGACGAAACACGCTTCCTGGATTCCACTGCTAGCCAATATCTATCATTAACACTATTCAAGTGAGGTTAAAAACCAAAAAAACTAATTTCCTTTACATGTTGAATGTGTCATTTACTGACCAGTGGAATAAACTAGCTTCTAACATAGAATGCAAGCAGCTATTTTCGCTTTTAAGAAACCATGAATCGATGAGCGTTCTTAGTGTCTGAAAGGATTTAAACTGTGAGATATACGTGGTATGTGTGTCTGCTCGAATACTGGAGTTGCATATACTGCGATTCATTACTAAACTTGGCAAGTACACTAGAAAAAACTGATTGTTCACTATGCAGATGCATATTACCACTACGACGATGAAATCAAGATATCCCATAAGTTTGCGCGTTTATGCTGAAAAGTCAACCAAAAGTGAACTCTTAATTCAAGCCTCATGGAAGTGAGTTCCGCAGCTAATGCTCACAAAATAACCACTAATCATTCTTGAGTATCTTTTTTGACAAAAAAGTTTGAGAGGATCAAGGCCATCCGTCTATTATCATTCTTAGGTGCTTACACATCAGCCAACGTAATCCAGTTTATCACCTAAAGTTCCTACTGTGTGTCAGAATAACTGCCGAACAGAGATCTAGATTATTTTCCACAGCACTGTACGGTAACATTTGTAGAAGAGCGCCAAAGAGACAGTTTGAGACGGCAAAATATGTGAATGAATACTACTTGTGAAGAAAATTTATTGAATTCATCGATATTTATACGTCCATTGAGCTACGTAATGCCTAGACTCAAAGCACAGCATTACTTATCAAGAAACAACATTTTCGGCATTAAAATCACTGGCTTTTAATCGTCAACACTCTATACTTGAAAGCAAATATTACGTATTTATTGTTCTACTACAGTAAACAAAGCATATCTCACTCTCCATTATGTCACCCAGCCACCTAGTTTTGTTAGTCAATCTTTCAATCCTAACATACAGCTAGAAATTTCATTTTTTAAAGGTCTTTATCCACTAGCGCTAATGTCTTTCATGAATTCATTGTGTTGTAATCGGCCGACAGAAGATCTGTTGTAACTTATGGAAAACCAGATTTTACGTAAGGTAACTTGAAAAAATAGGCATTAGACAGCCCAGTTAACTTCAAACCAATAATTATTTTTTCTGCAAACAAACTAGTTTTCAACGTGTTGACTACATGCCTTTAAAAGCTGCTGTCATACTTCAGAAACTGCATAACCTGTAGCCACAAGGATCTCACCTGTGATAAGTAGGTAGCACGGGGAATTTTATCTAGCTAGCAACTGTCGTTCTTAGAACATTTTGCGCGGCCTGATTATTACATTGGAAAACTGAGATCTTGGGAGAAAACGTAATTTAGAGAGATATTCTCCAATTACCTGGAGCCTCGAGAAGGTCTAACTGGTTCTTTTAAAAAGCTATCTGGCAAGAACATAATTGACATAGATCATGGGCCAGATCTGTGAGACCAAAATACTTCTGAGTGTTATGTAGGGTTGCATCATAATCGGTTCGTTAGCTACAAAGAACGGGAAGGCCTAAAATTCAAAATTGCTATATATATATATATATATATATATATAAACTTCAAGTGTCACTCAGCCGTTTTATTCAAAACACGATCAGCTGATCACTGCATGAATCAATGTCCACCTTCAAACAGTAAACATGACCGCGTTTTTGTTTGAACTACTTATTTCAAATTTTGGCACATGCTGTCAACGTTTGGCAAGCAAAAACATAGAATAAAACTACTATTTTCACCAGTAATAATAATTATCTTTAATATGTTGAACAGTCACTACCAAAGTTTTGAGATTTTCGACTATGATATCCAAATTTTTATTTCCATTCAACCAAAAGTATCCCGAAATTTGTAGTAATATGTTGAATTTCCACGGGGGGGTTTTCCGTCCTAACAAGCGTTGTGTATGACAGCGCCTACACTTCACATACACTAGTTAAATAGAAACCATAAAATGCTTCAACGTTTTGTTAGTTTACAACTTTGTTTGGAATCCGGAACTCAAACAGTTACATTTTAGGCTCCCACGGTAGTTTTCAGCACACTACGAAAACCTTATAGTTGACAAGCTGTCAAAATGTTTGGGTAGTAAACAGTAATGACCAGGTTGATATATATACTTCACTTTTAGTTCCTTAATATTGACTTCAAAAACGACAGAATATTGTACCATTAACTGCAGAGGTAAAAAATAGAAGAGAAATTACTCACATTTTGGTATCGGAAACTTCATAACCGATAAAAGGAAAAAATATGGTATTCATTTAATGTCAAACATTTGTAGTGTACCTTCTTTGCACCAAAATGAAACTAGGCTTAAAATAAATATATAAATATTGAAAAATCTGGATAATAAATCAATGGTCTTTTACGGCGCTGACGAGTGACTTTAGCTATCTGTTTGTTTTAGAGTATAAACAGGTGCACGCGAACATTTACCATTTTCAAGTTTTCTTTGTTCTGGTCGGCTGTAACTAGCTCAAAGTCGTTAGCTTATCCACTTATGGAGAGATAAGTTCACATTCTTCCTCTAATGTAACCTCTTTGGGTCTGACCAATAAACAAACTGTTTGTCTGAATATTTTCTACCTTACAAAGTGTTTTCTAACTAAATTTTTGTTGTCGGTACTTACAGGTAGGTAAAGCACTGATAAGTTGGGTACTGCTGCACACTGATTTATGTAAGGCTGATCAAGTGTCAGGCAGTAGTAACACAATAAGACCTACCATCCAAAGTCATTTTGAGAATGTGATATTGGTAGGCACAAAACAGACGTCCCTGAGGGTTAATAATTTTGCCAAAACGTATGTGAACATATCATATCAGCATGCAAACAATTCGATAGTAATTCGACTTTTTGAACACAATTCTCTGAAAACTTTTTATGAGTGCACTACAGGAAGTGCATCTACTTTCCCAGCATCTCCAGACCTTCTTACCCAAAATTATTAAAGTTTTAAAGTTTGCCCAATTATATTACTAAGGTCTTGTGAAAGTTTCAAAATGTGTCTAGTTGTATAGCTAATTTAGGTCGGTCAGGAAAAGGTTGAACAAAAATATTCGTAAACCCTCGGCCTACATTGTTCAAGTTTAAAGTGAAAAACAAAAAAAGAAACAATTGCTTGAAAAGTCTATGCATATTACCCACTGAGCTACTTTAACTTTGAACTTACACACTGCACTACACGGAATTTCGTGCGGTGCAGTATTAACACACCCAAGTAAAACTTGATGGTATAAGTTACAGCAGTCAACCAGATGATGTGTCCGAGCCGAAGTCTCTCGTAGGGCTTTTTTAAATAAGTGTGGACTTTCACATAACTCAACTTTAAGTGCGCATACTACGTTATGAGCGCGTACTACTTGCAAACTGTTTCTGACGGAATTCAAAATGTTATCCCACCAGGATTTTATCATTAAGAAAGTAGCGGATAGATCTTAGGAGGTGAAGCATAATTTCTGTTTTCACCTATGACAAATAAAGTAAGTACTTGCGTTTAATATGAGAAAGCAGTATTTGATTATGTGAAACTTGACAGTACATACAAATTGATGGGTTAAAACAAAACTTTGAATCTGATTTTTCGCTCAAAATACCAAATTTTATGCAACGTTGCTAATCAATGTCTGTCTTTGAGACTTAATAAAGCAGCTGATTCTTCCGCGTTTGCTTCACGTCTACTGAAATGGTTCCTCGTTTTTAATGCATGCATGATATATGCTTCATCCGGCACCTAGCTCCCCCTGATAAAAGTGACCAAGCTGTGATCATCTTCAGATTCACAGCAGACGTCTTGTACCGGGCTGGTGCCCCAGCCAGACCCAACATATGGAAAGCGAATGTGGAAGCCACTAACTTGGCAGCCTCCTAGGAGGACTGGACAGTCAATCCAGAAACCTCAGCTGAAGGTGCGCTGCGCTCCTTCGAACATTTATATGCACCAGTGACCCAACCTTTCATTCCGTTGACTTTCCTATGGGGATGGAAACACTGTCTTCTTTGGATAAATTATGAAATCCGAATCTTGCTGCAACGTAAGAAAAAGTGTTGGAGTCTTGCCACCCACCTCGGTACACCCGAAGTGGTGAAGTATTGCAAGGAAGCTTGCTATAAATGTATCGCTGCTATCCAACGGTCTTGAATATGTTTTGAAACGCTTCTTGCCCAGGCTGAATTGAAGCATTCGGAGAGGTTATTTACCTATATGAACTACAGAAATAGGATGAGTTGTGGTATACACGCCCT